CCTAACAAGACATGGTATTTAAAGAAATAAGGATTTGAGAGTTTAATTTTTGAAAAGGGACCTATTTTAGTGGAACATCCTCTCAAACAGCTTGTTTTTGAAATGTTACATTTGCTTTGTTCATTAGCCCTCAATGGAAACAAGTGCCTTTGAGTATTGCTGGAAAGACGAGCTTTTTATTTCTGACAACTTCCCTGACAATATCTGAATCTCTCAAAACTTCCTCAGGAAGCTGGTTGTAGAGGTGTGATAGACTGTGCAGGCCACAGCAGCTGACCTGCTTTTGTTCAAGGTTTTTGCAAATTTCAGTATTAGTTTGAAATTGACTCAGTTTGAAATTTCCATCAGTAAGTCACTAAAGTGGATAACGATTCCCACTTGCAATATTACCAATCCTGAGTGTTAATATAACAAGACTGCCCCTTAAAAAAAACACGAGGTCTTTAAAGCTGTATTTTGGGTTCTCTCTCTGCCTTCTGGTTTTAGAATCTTTACGGTACCTGGCAGATCATTTTCAAGCTTTTCTCTGAAACCATGAGGGCTAGAAACTTATGTTGTAAAATTAAAGATGAGATTGTCACAGTCACATGACTCAAGGAGCTGGGACTTTAAGAAAAAAACCCAAACATTTTAAAACCTGTGATAAAAAAAAATCACAAGCATTGGCAACAGTGCACTTGTGCAGATCAGTAATATGTTAATTGAATTGCTCTGTTTCAAGGTTACAAACTCTGTTACTGAAATACTGATTAAAACAGAAGTGTGTGATGCTCTAAATGTGAGTTTACACTAAATCCACAGTTAAAATACAGTCCCATCAGAAAAAGTAAAAAATCTACAACAAGCTTACAAATCAGTGTTTTCAAATATTTTCTGCAGAAAAATCCCCATGCAAAAAAGCTTTGCTAAGATATAGTTATGGTTGTGAACAGTTATCAATTTACAAATTGCTGGAAAGATATAATTATTTGAAAAAACAAACCATTTAGAAGTCAGGAGATTCAAAGCATAGTATAGTTTTATTTCCCACTCCCACATAATTTAGCTATATGGTCTGTACTGTACATTAACAAATGCACACAGCATCACCATATCAGTGCTTTCTGTAACTCAAGTGTTTTCTACAGTGATTGAAAACATGAGACGAGCAAAGACACTTCTCCACACAGAACTATGAACAATGGGCCTGACCAGATCTACACATGCCAGGGAAGCGGACGGATTGTACAGCAAAAGCCAGGGCTCGACAACCCTGATAGTGCAGAAAACATGAAAATACAAATCTGGAAGTTTAGTGGCATTAGTGCATTTTCAAATATTCTGTACATAGTGGCTTTTTCAAAAAAGGTTAATATAGAGGAAGTGGTGGTACTGAGGGATTAGACTAGAATACATTCAATCTCTGAAATAACTCTATGGCAAAGACATACTTATGTGAACCCTGTGTGCTATATGGGGAACATCTGAACAGTACACTTCTTTCTTGTAAGTAACTGTTTATTTAGGAAGTTAGCAGGTTTACAAATCACTATACAAGCATCAGGATTCGGTTTTTACTCATGTTTACAAACCAATATCTTTCAAACTTAATATTTTAAAAAAGTGTCAAATGCAATGTTTTTGGGGGGCCAGTTTACTTTAATTATTGAATAAATGGTAACCAAATATCTAAGCATCCATTTCTGCTCTGTATTTTGCAGGGTATATACTTCCATAATTTTTTCCAAAACAAAAACCTATATTTTAACCATTTCTCTCTAATTATGGGCTATTGTTTTTTTCTTCCCATAAGAAGCTGCTAACAAATCTCGCAAATGAGTAATTCTTCACTTCTTTGCACGTGACCATTTCTGCTAGAAAGCCCCAAGAGAAGATTATCCAATGTTTTCTTTGGTAATAAACATCCAATAGTTTAATAGTTGGTTATGAATCACACCCCAGTACTCTGATTGGACACATCCACCATGTGAGTCTTTTATAAGCTGTAAGTCTGCTTTACCTTTTTCCTATCATCTTGTTTAAGTCCTCGACAGAGAAGGCAGCCATGGTTAAATATACTCTCTCATAGTCGTGTAGCAAAAATTAAGATGTGTAATTCTAAACAGATTAAAATGCACACAAGGGCAAGCTGTATACATTTTCCAAGTTGTGTACTTACCCCTTACCTACTAGCCTACTGGGTGTCTTTGGGCAAAATCACTTCCCGTGCCTCGGTTTCTCCCTCCATTAAATGGCAATAATGATGCTGACCTCCTCTGTAAAGTGCTTTGAGATCTACTGATGAAAAGCACTAGGTAAGAGCAAGGTATCACATTACATTGTGAATTGCCACCATGACTAATGTAGGGCTCAGAAACTTTACCTGTTCTTAAAAACACAAAGTCTTTACTATCATTCAAAGAACACAAAAGCATCTTCAATTTATTTTCTTCGTCCAACTTTTTTTTTTAACCCTTTACATGGTTATTTGTTTGATATAAGCATGGCTACACTCAGAAAAGTGACTTGGAATAAGTATGTATTGCCATGCTTGTGATTCCCATCAAAATTGCTCCATTCATAACGATTTAATTTAACTGCCAGTCCTGCAACCTGAGTTTAGGATCTGAAAAATCAGAGATTACTTTTGGGTCACACATGACCAAGTTCTGATTGCTGAATCTTTAATGACTTTATACATCATCCCAGAGGCAGAATAGACTCCAAATGTCTCAAACCATCGCAATCATGTTTACATGATCACTTTTCAGACCAAACCCACACTTATGCTCAAGAACCTGATCCTGCAATAAGCATCTGAGAGGAAAACACAAGGCCTATGAAATCTCTTTAGAAATTAAACTTTGTTTTCCCTTTTGGGCATTAAGAACCTTCTCTAAATTACATTAGCATTTCTAGGGAGCTGTGGGATGAGAATAAAGATCTAGGTTTAATTCAAGTATTTTTTACAGTATCCACACAGAGATGGTGCCCCTGTGCTGAAGAGTTGACAATCTACATTTAGATGCGATGTGATGAGTGAGTGTAAACTTCTATAAGGAAGGTCAACATTTCAGCAGCACAATCATATGGTAACTTGCTGGCATAGACTAGCCATGTTTTAGTTTTTTTTTTTTACTACATATGCATTTAACACACTTCGTTACATCCTGTGACCACTGACATGTCCTTGGGATATCACGGAGGAAGTGAATTAAGGAGGGATTGGAAGACAAAAGGGTGGAGGCTGTGTGGGCCATACATGGCTGCCAATGGAGGAAAACCACCTGGAGATAGCTGCAGAAGAGGACATCAAAGATGGCATAATTGCTGGAGGAGTAGGGGGGGGGGCGTCGAGAGCAACACTCAGAATATAGGTTGAATACAAAGATGGAGGTGGAGTTATAGAGGGAAAGGAGAAGATGTTACCTCCATGCAGTGAAGGATTCAAAGAGGTGGATAACAGTCAGATTGATGGGTAAGGAAGATGATTTCAGCTGGGAGGAAGACAGGAGATGATCAGGGCACAGATGTCACATCTAGCTGCAGGTATAGATAGGAAGGGTTGGAACTTCACAACAGCTGGGAGAAAGAATGGCCAAGATTTGGCTACTGTAGCAGAATAAAAGATAGAAAATGGTTAATCAATGGAATAACCAATGTTCACTTATTTCAAACAAACTTTTTTCTGTGTCAGTGATGAAGCAAGCATGATGGCTGGAGGCCAATTTTTATTCTCACTTGATATAAATTCTCCTAGACGATCAGAAAGGGAGTTTTAGCAAAACCAGGTATTTAACCCCTAATGATCACCAAAATCAGGTTTTTTGAGGGGGTCAGTTAAAACTTACAAGAGCTATATGGTGTAAAGGTTTATAGATTTGCTAGTGATGAGAGCATGAGGTTGTCTTCTTGCATGAGCAACTCTTCCTTTCTGAGATGGTCAGAGCGCCTTAAGAAAGGAACACAGAAAAAGATGGAACACTCTTGGGTGGAGCTCTGTTTGTGGGTGGAGCTCGTGAGTACCACTACTTTTTTCTGCACTGGATCCGCAGATTAGATAACATGAAATTAAAGTTACCTAATCCATGGGTCAAATGCAGGGGGAAAAAAAAGTAATGGTTTGCATAAGCTCGACCCACAAACAAAGCTTCACCCAAGAGATACCAGAACAAGATACCACTTTGTGTGCTGCAAATCTTCATACGAATCGTTATTATTCCTTTTCTTTCGTGTGTATTCTGATGGTGGATTGCAATCCTTCTTTCTTGCCTGCTTTGATCAGGAGGGAAAGTGAATGTTATCCCGTTAGTGTTCTAGTTCAGCATCAACTCTCCACTGGAGGTAAATGGGAGCAGTTTACATCTCTGAGCTTCTTTATGGCTGTCTGCAGACTCAGGATTTGAGCATTGGCCTGCTAAACCCAGGGTTGTGAGTTCAATCCTTGAGGGGGCCACTTAGGGATCTGGGGCAAAATCAGTACTTGGTCCTGCTAGTGAAGGCAGGGGGCTGGATTCGATGATCTTTCAAGGTCCCTTCCAGTTCTAGGAGATAGGATATCTCACTATGTTAAAGAATCTTCAGATTGTGAACTGTGTATTTGCTACAATAAAGACTGGAATAAATTTTAATTGAAAGCCTAGAAACTCGGGGGGGGGCTGGAAGGGGGGGGTTGTTTGCAGGAGGGGAGTATTATGATGGTGGCCTCCAAAAATTACTGGCTCACCGAGCCCACTGGAAGCCAAACCCATTCAATCCCTGTTCTAAAATCCATCCACCCCCTATTCAAGACTTCACTGCCACATGGTCTATAGTGTCAAGAAGTTTCTTCTGAATCGAGCCCGAATTTGTTCTCTCAGTGTTGCCACACATTTGTTCCTGTGCTACCCTAGTTCCTCTCCCCTCTTGGAGTTTACCTCCTTCAGATATGTGTAGAATCTAATGTCTTTTTGGTCGTCACTTAGAAATAATTAGAGCTCAGAAAGCTAGTTATTTAACAAGTGAGTTCTACCAGCTCCCTAATCACTTAGGCAAACTGTGTGAAGTTTTAAGAAAAAACATTTTTCCCATAATGAGGTGTCCAGAACTGAATACAATACTCCAGAAGCAGTCTTGTCAGGGCTGTACTGAGATCAGGCAGATAAAAGATTAAAACTGATTATTTAAAAAGCCTAATTTTTTTTTAAATGTTCACAGGTTCACTGACCTCCAGAAGGTTTGTGATATTTCTTTTGAAAGAGAGAATGAACAGATTAACATAAATATACCAGGGAAGTTAGATTTATGGGGCCACAAGTTAGCAGTCTTTTTTGAAGATGGGGAAGATCTAACAGTTTCAGTTATCAGTACACACAAAGCTTCAATCATGCAATGGAACGTGCCTAGGAATACTCAGTGGAGAGACGCCAATGGAGCGCCACCCAGGTCTGCTGGTGTGGATCAGACTGTTATACGAGGAAGTAAGTCTGTTTGAAAATTGGGATGAATATAAAATAGTCAGGCCTAGATACTATACATCTTAGAGCATTAGGAAAACTAGCAAATTCAATAGTTCTTTTCACAGAATCTCACCTCCTATTCATCCAAGCTATTTATTTTACTTGTTGAAAATAAATTTTAAAATAGAAGCTCAGTGTTTCAGACATTTTGGATAGCCATTCATTTATTCCTTCTCCATGTTCATTAGTTAGTAACCAATCTAAAATGTATATGTTACAAAGAGAGCACGAGTGAAACATTTGTTATATACATATATAAACAATTCTTTATTCAGTTTCTGAAGCAGACTTGGATAATAAAGAGCAAAGCTTCTCCTCACATTGGAACATAACTGTGACAAATTGTGGAATCATGAAACTCAATTTTAAAAAGGTATTTTTCCCTTTAACAAAAATCCTCATTGTGGACTGATCCTCAATAACTTTTCTTAAAGTCTTTCAAGCCAACAATAACTCAATATTGGTTCAGTGCAGTCATTGCTACACTACACTTCAATAAAGGCACATACTACAATACCCACTTAAGTACTTAATCTATATCTAAATTTCTCTGAGCTTCAGGTCTTTGAAAAGTATAAGCTTCACTTATTAAAGGAAGATGGAAAGAGAAGGGATAGTAGAACTTTCCGACATAGGAACAGAATAATAAAAAAGTCAGCAAATTAAATGTAATGTAATGAAATAGCTTGCAAGCACACAAATTCTTTCCTTATTTACCAAATTTTTATCTTGGTACTCATTATGTGAAGTGTCTTCTGAAAAATGTGTGGCTTAACAAAATGTATGTAAAATGGAAAAAGGCTGTGCAAAACAAGGTCAGTTTGAGGGAGAGACAACTTTGCTGGCCTCTGTCAAGTCTTTCAAGAGAATCCTTCCATAAATATAGCATTACATAATTCAACTGCACTTGGCTCAAATAAAGAGTAGAACCAAATAATTAGCGATTAAAATATCTCCTTACCTCTCGACTAAAGCCCCAATTCAAGGAAGGACCTAAGCACCTACTTAATTTGAAGCACATATGCAGCCACAGTAAGTCAGGACTGTTCACATGCTGAAAGTTAAGCATATGCTGAAATTTTTTTCTGAATCAGAGCCTGAAGGCTGGGGACTCAGTCACTCTGAAGCTCTGTCCAAAACAGTAGAATTCTGCTCACCTTAACAGCAGGATCTTCCCACTTCTCTCCCAAAGTTTTAATAGTCACCATAATGAGGTCTTCTACTACTAAGACTACTACACTTACAAAATAAACGATACAAGATTTAGTAACATACTCTAAATCAATACAGGTACTGTATCCAGTCACTTTGGCAGCAGTAGTTGAATTATAATGAAAACATTTCACTTTCTTTTTCAGAAACTGTGTTAGAACACTTCCTTTTAATAGTTTTACAGGGTTTTTTCCAGCCATGACTGCAAGGTTTTGTAGTGTATCTGATCAGATAATTAGTTTTCTCAGCCTTCTAATAGAGAAAGGCAAACTTGAAGCATGTGATGAACACTTAATTGTAGCTCAGTTAAGGATATGTGGTTATTTTTAATTTATATATATCCCATTCTCATCCTATCATCTAATACATGTTAAAAAGTACAGTTTATTACAAACGATATATGCTCCAGTGTTTGGTTAATTCAATGTATTAACACCAACACTCTTTCTGAAGAAACCACTGAACCTGACTGCAAATGAAATTATGATGCATGTATTATAAGGGAACATATAAAAAAAGAGTTTAGTAATTGTAAGCACTGAAAAATATTTTACAGAAAGATACTGAGAATTAATTTATTAATTGTAATGACCCCAGTTACCACACACATTGGTAGAAAGATGTAGTTTCATCATTGAGCAAGAACTAGTCTTACAATAATACAGTAAATGTTTTATTTACCATAATCCATAACAGCCTTGGACAGCACAGTGTTTAGCTGGTATTAGAAGCAACCACGTATTCTGTTTCGGTTATACATACCCCTTTTATTATTGGGGATGTACAACCAGCTGTACAACACCCAGAGAAGAAACATTTTTCTGCCCCCCCCCCTTTCTTTTTCTTTTAACCTATTGAGGGCTGTCAGTCAAGCAAAATTACGAAGGTCCATTTAATTTGATTACCTTAAAATAAACACAATAACCTTTTCCTGAGTAAAAAAAGTTCAGTATTCCATCAAACGCTCTCCTTCTCTCCTAAACTTTTTAATAATTTAGTGTATATTGAAAAAGGAGGCATCTAGAGAAGAAAAACAGCACAGTGACAATATATTTCTAATTTATAGAAACCTTTTTAGGTTTTGAACACATTTGCTCCTTACTTTGGCCAGTTTAGTGTATTTGTTCCGGAGATTAAGTAAATGCTGAAATCAATTTCTGCTCATGTTCCCGATTAACAGAGAGAGCTTCATTATATGGCAAGGAGTAGAGTTTGGACTTGTTGCACAATGGAAAGATTTAACATAACAGAAGAGGCAAGTACTGAAATGTCACACACACTGTTTAAATCAGTCATTTCTGCAGGGCTCAGATAGAAAACTATTAGTTTGCTGTTGGGCTGGAATTACCAATGCTGCAGAAAAAAAATATATCAACAAAATGGCTGCAGAGAGAGGGGGCGGGAGCATGAACCCAATTTTGATTTAAACTGTTATAAAGCTCAGATTTATCAACCAGGCATGTGAACAAAACCTAAGATCTAATAATTTCAGAAGTCAAAAGAGTCAAACAATTCCTTTTAGAAGTTACATGCCTGCATGAAAAAATAGCTTTGTAGTGATGGTATAGGATAGCAATGTCAGATAAAAATACATATATGATTATTACAAAATAGTCACTGAAAGATTATGTACTATAGTAATCCATTTTCTCATTGATAAAGTGCATTTATCTAGCCTGAGAGTAAGTTCCACATTGATAAAGGAATGCTAAAGCACTTCACCAATATAGATTACAGGAAATCCAGAGCTGTCCTGAATCCTACAGCCAGTTGTCTCAGCAGAGAGTCAGGAGGACATTTCTGAGAAGACCATCCCTCTGCCGGTCCAGTTGAGGTATTCCATTCTAATTCAGTACATCATTGGCAAGGGTCACTCAGCAAGTCACCTGTCCAATGCTATCTGAAGGTTCCCACATTGATGGAAAGAGCCACTTCTGGTTTACGATGCTTAGTAGCCACTTTTCCCTCAGAGAAAACATTGTTCTGTAAACGCTGCGCTTGTCGGCTATAGGAAAATCAGACAGTGATATTTGCACTACAGCTTAATATTAATATCAGTGTACTTCTAGGAAGCTGTAAATAAATTTGGAACCTGATTATTACTTTGGCAAAGATGACATTGCACTCCCACACTTGCTAATTGTGTATTTAAGTGTGCCCCAGGTGACCAAAGGGCTGATTTTCCACTGCTCTGTATCTTGGGAGGTCAACCTGTGCAGAGAGGGTGTAACATGCTACAAAATCAGAATGGTCACACAAAATGTAAGCTAGGGGAGAAGGGAAGGTTACTTACATGTAACTGGAGATTCGTCGAGATGTGTGGTCCCTATCTGTATTCCACTGAGGGAATGCACACGTGCCATGCACCGGAAATGGAGCTTTTCAAAAGTGGTAGTGTCTGTTCCGTACACGCACCCCTGCACTGCTTTGTGATTTCACCCGAGGCGATAAAGGATGGGGTAGGTCGGCCACATCTTTCGTTCCTTCTCCACCTACCATATTCACAGCAGAGGCGAAGGAGGATGGGATTGGAATACAGATAGGGGCCACACATCTTGAATAACCTCCAGTTACAGGTAAGAAACCTCCCCTTCTTCAAGTGATGGCCTCTATTGTATTCCACGGAGGGTGATTAACCCTAGTTTCGAGGAGGGTCCCAGGAAGAGGATGGAACTGCGAAGTGGAAGACCGCTGCACCGAACAAGGTGTCCATCGCAGAATCATGCACTAGAGCATAATGAGAAGAAAAAGGTGTGTACCGAACTCCACCTGGTTGCCTACATAGGTCCGCAAGGGGTACATCATGAAGCGCAGCTGTAGATGATGCCTGTGCTCTTGTGGAATGGGCCCAGATCCACCCTGTGGGGACCATCCTGATAGTTGATAGCACAGTGTAATGCATCCTGAGACCCACTTCAAGGTTCTCTGGATGGAGATGGCCTGCCCTTTAGTTCTCTCTGCTCCGGCAACAAACAGTCTGGGAGACTTCCAGAATGGTTTTGTCCTTTGTAGGTAAAAGGCCAGGGCCTTACAGACGTTGAGGGAATGAAGCCGCCGTTCCTCATCTGAGGTGTGCAGTTTGGGAAAGAAAGTGGGTAGGTGTATGGGTTGGTTGAAGTGGAAGCAGGAAACCACCTTTGGCAGAAACTTGGGATGTAGGTGCATAAGGAGACCTTGTCTTTATGGAATGTGGTGAAAGGGGGATCTGCCATCATAGCCCCCAGTTCACCAACCCTCCTTGCAGAAGTAATTGCAACTAGGAAAGCTACTTTCTTAGAGAGAAGAGAAAGAAAGCAGAGGCCAGAGGTTCGAAAGGGGGTGGGGGATTCTTTAATGAGGGGAGGACCAGGTTGAGATCGCACTGAGGAGCAAGTCTGGACGGATGGGTATTTGCATACAAAGCCCTTCCAGAATCAGGCAATCAAGGGGTGGGTGAAGATGGAATGCCCTTCCACAAGAGACTGGAAGACACTAATGATTGCTACGTGCACTCTGATGGAGCTGAGGGCAAGCCCCGAGGCCTTTAGAGACAGAAGCTAGTCTAATAGCATAGGGATGCCCACGGCTTCAGGATACGACCTCTATGTTGGGCCCAGGCAATGAAATGAGCCCACTTGGCCTGATAGGACTCCACAAGGCGATCCTTTCTACTACTGGAGAGACTATCACAGACAGTTGGCAAGCAGTCCTGTGCTAGCAGAGGCGTCCATCCAAAAACCAAGCTGTCAGGTGAAGTGCCCTTGGATCGGAGTGTCTGAGTTTGCCACTGTGTTGCATAAGTAACTTGGGGAACACTGGTAGTGGGAGCGCGGGATGTTTTGACGTGCAGAGAAGAAGAGGGAACCAGAACTGGCAAGGCCAATATGGGGCAAGCAGGATGACCGTCACCCTCTCCCATCTGAGTTGGCAAAAAATGAGTAGTAGGAGTGGCAGTGGAGGGAAGACGGTTGTTCCAGTCCAACTAGTCAACGATCAGTGTGTTCCCCCTACAAGTGGGTACCGAGGCCTCCCCTGGAGCAGCATTGGATGCAATTGGTGTTGGTGTGAGATGCAAAGAGTCTCTGGTCAGAGTTCCCCAGCAGCCGAAAACATCCATGACTACTGCGTTGTGCAGCACCCATTTGTGGTCAGTTGCAAAGTTTCTGCTGAGGGTATCGGCAATCACATTCTGGGTTCCCACAAGGTAGGCTGTGGCCAGGAGTATAGCCTATGATATGCACCATTTCCAGAGGTGTACAGCTTCCGCATACAGTACTGGGGACCGTGTGCCACCTTGCTTATGTAGTAAACTGCGGTGGTGTTGTCCGACATGGCCAGGACATGATAAGAACAGACAGCTGTTAAGAATGTGTGGCATGCCTTGCATGCTGCTCGTAGTTTGAGGATGTTGATGTGCATCCTGGCTTCTTCGGCCATCTAAGTGCCTTGTGTCATGCAATGTCTCACTGGGTTCCCCAGCCCTCGAGTGATGCAGCCGTTATAATTGTAACACTCGGTTATAATTGAGGAAGGGAGGAAGGGTTTGTCCACCATTAAAGGAAGAGATGACTTCCAGTGGAATGGTGAGAGGGATGCCCATGGATGGGCACATGGAGGAGCAGATTGTAGCCAGAGTTGTAGATAGCGGAGGTGTAGATGAGCAAAGGGTGTGACATACATGCATGCTGCAATGTGAGCGAGGAGGGAAAGGCAAGTTCTGGCTGAGACCAAGGGACTGATGTCACCAAAGGTGATCAGATCCAGTAAGTGCTGGAACCTGTCTTTTGGCAGATAGGCGTGTGCGGAGGCCGCATTGATGCATGCTCCTATGAATTCTAGGAATTGTATAGAGCGCAAAGTTGATTTTACTACATTGATGCTCATTCTTAGGGAAGAGTAAATAAGTTGGGATGTCAATTCCCGAGCTTCTTTTCTGGACCGTGACACCAGCAGCCAGTCATCTAAGTACAGAAGGACAAGGATTCCTTGTTGCTGGAGGTGACCCGCTACCATAGAGAAAACCTTTGTGAAGACTCGTGAGGCAGTGATATCTCAAAACAGCATGGGCAGTAGGTGAACCGCGGGCTTGGGGAAGCTAGTCCCTGGCCCTGCCCGCCCCTTCCACCTGAGGCCCAGCCCCTCTGCCCCTGCTGAAGCCCACCTGAGGAGTGTAAACAGGATTCCCTCCTCATGATTACGGCTGCAATTATTTCACAGAGGTCGCAGAAGTCACAGATTCTGTGACTTGCTGTGACCTCCATGTCTTCTGCAGCAGCTGGTGCGGCTGACTTCAGGGCCATCCGAGCAGCTGGCCCCAGCAGCTCCTGGAGACCATCCGGAGAGCGGTCCCCGGAAGCAGCGGCCAGGGGGCAGTCAACCCCCAGCACTGGAGCAGCCCCAGAAGTAGAGATTTAGTCAGGGGTATTTTTGGTAAAAAAGTCATGGACACGTCACAGGCCATGAATTTTTATTTATTGCCCGTGACCTGTCCATGACTTTTAACCAAAAATACCCCGGACTAAATCTTAGCCTTACTCATGACTATTCCAATTGCCAAAACTCACTAAGATGTGTCTGCCGAATCAACTGCAGCCTGAAGTATGGCCTTAACGACCAACTTGCTTTCCTCTAGACTAGCTTGGAATTCAAAATGATCCCGTTGAGGTAGCTTATCTGTGAATTTTGCCATCTGTCCATAGTGTAAGGAGTCGTATATGGCCATTAGCACCAGATGGTTCGAGATCTGGAACTGGAGGCTAAGGAGACGGTCCAGCCTCTTGGTCAGTTGGGGTGGAGCGTGGGTGCTGTTGTTTACCAAGCTGCTTAGCAGCCTGATTCACCAGGGAGTTGGGCGGAGGAAGAGAGAACAGGAACTCTGACTCCTTGGGTGTCCGTCCCTTTCACGGTTGGGGGCACACATGGCCAGGGCCTGCCACACAGTGCGTGCAGGTTGCAGAATGTCCTCATTGATCAGTAGGGCCACTCTGGCCAGTATCAAAGAATGCAAAATGTCTAATAGGTGGCACTGCTTGTTCTGCATATTTTCCCATGGTATTTTGAGGGCATGAGCTATCCTATGTAGCAGGCTCTTGAAATTGATGGTAGTTGTCTGGGGGAGAGGAGGAGATTGATAGTCTCATCCAGCGATATTGAGGGACATTCCTCTGGATCCGCCAGTGTGGGCTCATCAGGGTATCATCTAATCCTGGTTCTGAGCATCTATTCGGCAAAGGACAGGTTGGTGATACAGGAGAGTCCTCCCGTATTGAACAGGACAGTTCTGAAGGTAAATATTAGGGCCATGAGCTCCAATATGGCCAGCCTAGTTGATTCTGGCCATATTGTTACAGCAGTATAGTCCAGAGATACCAGTGGCTCCTGGGTTAAGGTAAGGGAGGGTATTGCCATGGGACCTTCTGATAGTCATGTCTTCGGAACGGAAGCGGTGGGCCATATGTAATCTCCGGGCCCTCAGACTCCGAGGAGGAATTGGAGTCCTGCATCAATGGTGGTACTGACGGACCCAAGAGTGTCGTATGAACACGGCCAAAACGTGGAATATTGGATATGGAGATGGGCTTTTAGGAGGTGAGAGTACTGGGCATGCAGAGAGTGCATCTCTCCCATTGTCAACAGTTCATGAGGCCCGGGAGTGGTTGCGAGTCTCCCTGGAGTCAACACCACCTGATCGATGGACGGAACCAAGGCCAGTAAGATTCACTGATTCTGAGACAGGCATTCACTGGACGCTGGTGGAGCTGGTGCCTGGGTGTGCTGGTCTGTAACCAGGACTGGCAGATCTGGCAAGCAATGCAGGCTTTTGTCACTCTTGTGGGTCTTACCCCTACCCCTCCTTGGCCAGAGCTCATGGATAGCAGAGCATCTTTCTTAGCCCTGGAGGAAGAGCTACTGCCATGTTTATGCATGTGCTTCCGTGATTCATGGCTAGGCTCTGGCATGGGTGCATAGCACTGGTGGAGCCCATCTGGGGTTCCGTGGCAGGTGGTGTACTCTTGTGAGTGTTCAGGGTGATGGGGGGGACAGGGGGGTAGA